ATGTGTGTGTGTGAGTGTGTGTGTGTGTGTGTGTGTGTGTGTGTGTGTGTGTGTGTGTGTGTGACTTGACAAATGGGCTTCCTACCATAAAACTCCATTTTTCTTAATTTTCTCTTCAATTTTTCATCTCTCTCTGTTTCCTGGAAGATTTCCTCAATTTTCCTTGACCTTATAGCCAATCCACCTCTTAGATCCTTTTTTTTTTTTTTTTGCTACAGTGTTTTAAAATCTAAGAACTCTTCCCTGTTTTAGATAGTTTTCTGTTCTTGGATGTGATTACTTAGTTCTCTCAATATGTTAAGGATTTTGAAAAAAATTTTATGTTCCCCATGTTAGTTATCTGTTTGCTCAGTTTTTTTTTTTCCTGTGTATTTTGTTTTTTTGTTTTAATGTCTTTTAAATATCTGATTCTTGGCCTTTCATATTTAAGAGTGAGGTACTATGAAGTTGTTGAGAAGTTTGTATGCATGAGCGATCTCTATCTTGGGATTCTTTTCTGTTATAATCTTCATCCCAATGTGTGTGGTCAGTCTGGCCAGGATCCAAGTGTGGGAAGAGGGATGAGAAGATCTCACATTTTGTTATATGGTACTCAATCCTCCTGATTTTGGGGTGGGGTGGGGCGGGTACAAGGCTTCACCTCCACCACTGCTGTGCCTGTTATCCAGAGTCTTTAGGTTAATCCTCTTCATAGAATAAACTTTGTCTTCGGGATGAGGGAAAATCTGGGAGTCTTAACTAGTCCTTATACAGACATTCACCCAGTTTTGCTATTTTCAGTTAGACCCCCACTTGGGCTTTCAGAGGTACCAAATCCTGAGCCTTTCTGGGATTTTGCTGCTCAGAATATCTTGCTTCTTATGGACTCGTAACAATTTGGCAGCTTTCTGTGCTCTGTACATCGGTTATTGTCAATCTGCTTTCATTTCCCCAAATTTTATTGACATCTCTATTTTTGTCTCCTTTCCCATTTTCTTTGACCTTTTGATTTTATATATATTACATTTTTTTTTAAAGATTTTATTGGGGAATTGGGCGAGGGGAACAGCATTGGGGAATCGGGGAAGGGGAACAGACAAGTTGCTCTCCTTTTGTTCTTCAGTCTAGTTGTGGAGGACGTCGCTTCACTGGGCCATGTTGGTATTATCATTGCACTCTTCCCGGCTGAGGCAGTTGCTCGCCAGCCATTGGATGGCCGCCCACAGTGACTCCCAGCAACCCAGCTCCAGGTCGAGCTGTTGTTCACCATCTTAGCTGTAGAGGGCGCAGTGTCACTGGCCCACATGTGGAATCTGAACCGGAGCCCCACTTCTCAGAGCTGGCGTCCCAAGCCAACTCCTAACCAACCTGCCACTCGACCGGCCCTTAAATTTCTTTATTAGAACTTTCAGCTGAGTTTTGGAAGGGAGCCAGAAGTAAAAAGTAAAACTTTAAACAGAAGTTCTTAATCTGTTTTTCAAAACAGTCATAGGGAGTTAGGGCTGGTTATGGCCTCTGTTTGACATACCCATGTTTATATACATTTTCTATTGGAAATCTGGGTTGAAAATAGATATTTAGTGCCCAACTTAACAAATCAGAAAGTAGGTCTGAAAAAATTTCATAGGCAATCCTCATTTTCCTCTATTTTATTAAATTTTTATGGGGTTTTATATGTATACTTCTTTCCCTTTAATGATACTGTGGTTGGAATGGTCTTTTATTTAAGACTTTAAACAACAGTAAATATCTAACCCAACATTCACTACTACTTATAAATATTTTTGCCCTCTTAGATTAACTAAATTTTAACCCAAATTTGAATTGAAGCTCATCTTATATAAAGACTGCTAATTTCTAATTAGAGCTCTGAACCTTTGGAAAGTAAAAGTTCAACTGTTGCTTGCTATTTAAAAAATTCCTCTTCTACATTTATTGACTGATCTCTCACTTGAACTTCATTTGAAAGTATCTTGTTATCTGGGGCATAGAATATAAGCCTTAGTAGGTTACGTGATAGGGAATTGACCAGATGTTGCTTCTAAGGACCTAAGATTTTTTCATCAAACCAGGTAAGGAGGCATTAGGTTCCTGAGAAGAGAATATTGGGAAAAATTAAGTAACATCAGGATATTGAAATAGTATTTAATTCAAGTAGGATTTCTAAGTCCTGCCAACTTTTAAACAGATTGCGCTTGTGATTGTAACTTTTTTTTTCTTCTAAGCATTTTTTGAGACATATTTTAGACATCTTTGGATAATGTTTTCTATCTTTTTACCATTAGGCAGCCATTTGTCGATGTAGTCAACCACTGTCAGGATTCAGCGCCCGGTGCCTGGAGGATGAACATTTGTTGCAGGCCATTAGCAAAGCCAACCCAGCCAATCGCTATATGTATGTCGTGGATACCAGGCCCAAAGTATGTGTCTTGAATACAGCACAGTCTATTAGTTAATGACCTTTGCTACTTTAATTATTAGGAGTTGATCAATTTGTCAATATTTAACATATCTGAATCTTATTTTTACATTAACTGAGACTAATGATACTAAGGAAATCAGTCTTTTAAAGGATACCAACTTAGGAGGCCAATTTCCCAGTAACCCAGGTGATGATTTCTTGATTTTCTGACATATAGGTAGGTAGATAGATAGATAGATAGATAGATAGATAGATAGATAGATAGCAGGGGAGCCAAAACAATGTATATAAGTGGACACTTTGGTCAACGTTGCTCAAGCAGTAGTTCGCCATAATCAGAAGTGTCTGGATGCTGATGGTAATAACCACTTTGAGCACCTCTTATAATTATAGTAGTCAAATGTGACTTATATTTATCTTTTGTTATTGGTATATATTGAGTATTACAATTTTAATATTGGGTTGTCAGAAAAGTTATGACGTATTTTTTTCTATGTTTTTTGTTGCAAAAATGCGTCATGACTTTTCCAACAACCCAATAGTCTTTTCCTTTCTTAATATGTGCATACATTTTTTTGGTGCACTATATATAAATTTTGGAAAGCTGAGTTTTACTGGAAACTATTGATGTGTATCAGTATTATGTTACTGTGAAGAAATACTAAATTGTGTGTGTGTGTGTGTGTGTGTGTGTGTGTGTGTGTGTTGTGAAAATTAGAAATTCATATTACTTTTCTTTGTAGAATTTTTAATTTGCAAAATGCTTTGTGTTAAAATAAGGGACCTTAATTTGAAATATTCAAGAAAATAAGGAAAATATTTAACTTAGGAAGCATCGAACTAAAGAATTATAAATAGTGAACAGGAAATAGTTCTGTTAGGCATCTGCTATGTAAGGTTAAATTTTTATCATTGGGACAAATGTCAGAATTCCTTTTTCTTTTTATAAACACGGTTAAACAACTAATTCATATAGGATCCTGAAACTAAAGTAATTAAAATCCTCAGTGGTAATAGCTAACGTTACTTTTAATTTTTATTATAGCTTCGTATGCAGAGCTGGTGGGCTACACAAAAGGACATTGGCAGAATTATAGTGAGAATTTCTTCAAAAATCTGGAATGATGAGAAAATAAGAGAAAGCGATAAGAAAAAGCGAGTGAGCGATATAGACCACAATTTTAGGCAGCTTTGTTGAAGGAATAATAGCTGTATTAGAAGTAATTCTCATCATTATGCAGTCTTACAAAAGATAATGGAGAAAACAGAAGATATGATTAAGTAAATTAAGGAATATTAAAAATTAGAAACTGGTAATTGGATAATGTTTTGTTAAAAAGAAAAGAGGTTCTTAGAAGTAATAAAGATTGTTGGTAATATCTCTTGTAAGAAAAACTTTTACTTTCTTGTATAGTCTAGGTGGATTAATTGTTAGAACTATTTTTAGGTGATATTAATATAAGAGATGATTGTAATGCAAGACTTTCTGAATATAAGATCTAGGTTATTTACTTCTCAGGAACTTCTTATTTGTATAATTGACTTTTACAGAGAAAATATATCTTTGTTTTGTTTTAGTAGTTAAACTTAAGTAGTAATACCAAAAAAGCTTTCTTTTTTTTAAAATTTTATTGGGGAACAGCCATGGTCATTGGTTACACATTGCTTTCATGCTTTCATGCTACAACGGCACAGCTGACTCTTTTAGGGATGGTGCCGCTCACAGTGGCCCATGCGGGATTGAACCTGCAACCCTGGCGTTGTCAGCACCATGTTCCAACCAGCTGAGCTCATCCGTCACCCTCTGTGAAAACTTCTTTAAGATTTTATTGGGGAATTGGGGGAGGGGAACAGACAAGTTGCTGTCCTCTTGTTCTTCAGTCTAATTGTGTAAAAACATTTTTAATATGTAACTCTTACTTTAGTCATCATAGGTGCTGAATAACTAGTGAGTCAGGAAATAAAATTGAACTGTATTTGGTACCAACCTGGGCCCCAGTCCCCTGAATGAAAAACTACATTTTTCTTCGTAAAATTTAGATTCTGTTTCATTCGAGTTTATAAAAATAGTAAACTGTAGTAATGTACTATATGAAGTCCTAACCTGAAAGAATTAAACATGACAAATCTTAACTGAACCTCTGATAGCATTTGATCTAAAAATTGAAGATCAGGGCCTACCAACAATCTGCTTTCTCCCAAGAGACCTGTTTATTTTTGGCCCAATTCTTGGTGCTGTGTCAAACTAGCAGATAACATGCCGTGTTATGTACTGTGTGGGCCTCCAGTAATCTCTAATATGGAGGACCTCAAATAATCTGATGTATATTTTAGACCTGATTTTCAGGGTTCCTGTGGCTTTCTGAATGACCAAGTGCTCCAGACTTGTTCTGAGGTGAATCTCATAGGTTCATTCTGTAAAAGAAAAACTACCCAGCACTGAATTTAGGATTTACATAGATCTTTCTTTTTTTAAATTTTGATATATTCCAAATATATGGAAAAGTGAGTAAAAACTAAGTGAATCAGTTCCATGAAGTGTTTGTGGAGACTTGTCTGACTTTTCCATTATATAGCAATCATGTTGTTACTTTATAGTATCTTTCTTCACTTTTATTAACTATTAATTAACTATAATTAAAGGGCTTTAAACAGGAAACAGTAACTTGCTTAGATATCTATTTTACTTATTAGAAAATAGTAGCACATTTAGTTTTGATGAATTCCTTTAAACTCTCTGCTAGCTACAATGTAGTTTATTTGGTGTTTTCATGATATTTTGGTAAGTTAAAAGAAAAGCAATTTGTCTCTAAATTTCTAAAATTTAAATTTTTAGCTGAATGCAATGGCCAACAGAGCAGCTGGAAAAGGTTATGAAAATGAAGACAATTATTCTAATATTAGATTTCAATTTGTTGGAATTGAAAATATTCATGTCATGCGGTCCAGCCTTCAGAAATTATTGGAAGGTATGATTATTGCTTACCTTCTAGTCAGCTTTGTTCAATAGAAAAATAATGCTCATTAAACATAAAATTTAGAATTATGTAATTTGAAATTTTCCAGTACTCACATTTTAAAAAGTAAAAAGAAACAGTTGAAATTAATTTTAATAATATACTTAACCTAATATATTAAAAACATTAACATATAATCAATATAAAAAATTAGTAATGATATGTTTTACCTTTTTTTTGCCTTTAAGTCTTAGAAATTGACTAGGGTGTATTTTACACTTACAGTATATCTCAGTTTGGACTACCCACATTTTAGGTGTTTAATAGCCATATTTGGGTAGTAGCTACTCTATTGGACAGTGTAATATTCTAATGGTTTTACAAAAACCTGCTATTGTTAGATAGGTATTCTTGATTAGTTAGTATGGTTAAGATTAATTTATGATGTTCCATTTAAATATTAAGGTATCTTTCTAGTCATGGTGTGGAATTTGAAAAATTACAATATACTATTTTAATTAAATACTTGTACTGCAAATTATTTTTAAAAAAGAGATAGGAACCTTTTTTAAAGCATAGACTGACAGAAAAATGTAACTAAAAAATCAATTATTGAGCTCCTGATAGCATCTGTTCTTTTATAAAGTCTTGCCCATTTATTTTGTTCTCTTTTCTTCCCCATTTCACTCACCTAGAGATACCTTGAATAGGAAAAGTGGAGACTCTAGCCCATTCTAATTGAAATGTTTTTCCCCCTTTCCAGTCAATGGTACCAAAGGGCTTTCTGTCAATGATTTCTACTCTGGTTTGGAGAGCTCAGGATGGCTTCGCCATATCAAAGCTGTCATGGACGCTGCAATCTTCTTAGTCAAAGTAACTCTTCATCGCTCATATTTGGTTTGGTTTATAATGGTTGGGAAGGAATGTATTTATTCTGTTGGGTGCTGGTGTCTTTTTCAGTGAGATAACTTTTATTATGTTTTACCTCTTTGATGAAGTTCTTACTCTGAGCTTTAAAAACATCATGTAACACTTCACGTAGGGACTTAAAAAGAAATTCTCAAACACTTTGAAAAGTATTTTTGTGTTTGTTTTTGTTTGCTTGCTTTGTGTTTTGTTTTGTTTTTTGGAAATTATCCTGTGGCAACATTATTACTGCAGTCCTCACTCTTCTTTATAATGCAGTACTTAATGATTTTGAGTAGAACTTATTGATTCACTTAAAATATATTTTGCTAGCTAGAGCTTATTAAGTATGTGATCTTTCTTTTTAGGCAATAATGGTTGAAAATGCAAGTGTGTTGGTACATTGTTCTGATGGCTGGGATAGGACTTCTCAGGTCTGTTCCCTTGGCTCTCTTTTATTGGATTCCTACTACAGGACGATCAAAGGATTCATGGTAAGGAGTTATTAGACCAGTGGTTCTCAAATAGAAGTGATTTTAGGATAATGTTAGGAGACAGCTTTGATTGTGACAGCTAACGGAAACGGTGCAACTGACCTCTAGCATCTAGAGGCCCAGGATGTAACTAAATATCTTAAATTGCACAGGACAGCCCTACAACAAAGGCTTATCTGGCCCAGATGTCAGTGGTGCTGATGTTGAGAAACCTTGAGTTAGGCTGATTTCCATTTGTGCCATGTCTTTGACAAAAAGTTTTAGATGTAAAAGTTTTTATTTCTTAAACCGTTATAATAGAAATATTCAGTATTTTTTCCCTCATATTTATCTAACAAATGTAAGTAACATAGTAAAACAAGGCACAAATAAGAGTACTTAAACTTATAGTCTAGAAGAAACTTTCTATTTAAAACTCCATTTATCAATTGTAGTTACATGTTAGGAACCATGTTTATACCTGAAGATTAAATTAAAATCTAGCTGAACAGATTTCCTGCTTTGTGAAGCCAAAGGCCTGGCTCCTGTTTTTTGTTTGTTTTTTAACATGATGCACTCAGGTTTTCAAAATGTACACAGTCTTAACTCATGGCAAGTAAAGTAAACGAAGAGATGGGAGAAATTTTCATTAGAATTACTAAGCATAGTGCCATCTTACAGCAAGAGAAGGTCCCTTTATTTTGTATTGAGCACCATTATTTTGTGACGCTAACATACTGAATCTGGTACAGGACAAATGGAAGTGCTGCTAACAAAGTACTGTTCAGCTTACCTTGAGAGTATAAGATAAGGAATTGTTTCTTTGCCATATTTGGCTTTAATCGTTCACTAGGCATCCAGATGACCAGGGACAGTGTGACAGCTTCCCAGGCAAAAGGAGCAGTGAGAACGAAAGCACAGCTCCTTTAGGTGAGGGCAGGTCATGTGTGATGGACGGCGTTCAGGGTGAGTGTTGGGGGGCTTGGGTGCAGAAGAATATAGTGGGGTGAGGGCCTGAGGAAGAGAAGACAAATTGGGGTAGTAGTGTTATCCGTTAAAGCTTTAAAGAAAGGAAATAGTAACTTGCTTAGATTTGCTTTAAAAAAAAAAATGGTTTGGTGTCCTGAAGGCAGAGTGGAGTGGGAATGGAGGCAAAGAGGCCAGTAGACACTGTTAGGATAACTTGAGAGAGAAAAGAGGGCCAGACTAAGGTGGTAACACAAACGCAGGCGGAGGTGATGGGGTCAACCTCTGGGATGTTAAGACAGTAGAGCCAGTACAAATTGTTCAGGGATTGGATGTAGAGTAGGAAACAGGAGTCCTCAGGTGATTTCCAGGCTGTGGGCTCAGCTGTCAGGAAGAACAGTGCTGTTCTCCTGCTCTTCACTGAGATAATCAGAGGAATGAGATTAGTGAGAAAATTTTGCACGGTGGCTATGTAGGAGAATGGCAGAGGGCTCGTACTAGAACCTGAGGCTACAGCCTGAAGGACACTTGCCTGAGGTCATACCCGTGTGGAAGTGGTGAAGCTCTGACTTGAGTCTACACAGTATGACTCCAGAAACTGTATCTTATTCTGTCCCATCATATGGCCTTCCAGAGAGATTTAAGACAAAGTCAGAGAAGCTAAAAGTGGCAATTTCAAAACTGAAAAGAATGTACTTGGTGATTTTATAATGTATATTATATACTAAGAAGATACGTTGTTTAGACTGGAAAAAATTAGGAGCCTGTTATTATTTCAGTAGAATTGTGGTAGAGGAAACAGGTAAGGAAAGACAGTGCATTCAAGAGTTTAGATATAAATATTTGAATTTGAATATAAACTTTTTTTTTTTAAGATTTTATTGGGGAATTGGGGGAGGGGAACAGACAGGTAGACAAATTGCTGTTTTGTTCTTCAGTCTAGTTGTGGAGGATGTCGCTGTCTGGCCCACGTTGGTATGATCATTGCACTCTTCCTGGGTGAGGCAATCGGTCGCCGGTCATTGGTCGGCCGCACACGGCAGCTCTTGCTGGCTGCCGTCCACTCATGCTGGCCGCCAGCCACTCATGTAGCTCACGGCAGCCCACTGCAGCCCTGCTGCAGCCTACGCCATCGCTGGCGACTCACAGCAGCCCAGCTCCAGGTCAAGCTGTTGTTCATCATCTTAGCTATAGAGGGCACAGCGTCACTGGCCCTCAATGTGGGATCCGAACCAGGGTCCTGCTGCTCAGAGCTGGTGCTCCCAAGTGAGCTCTTAGCCAGCTGAGCCACTCGGCTGGCCCTGAATATCAACTTTTCAGTGGTAGCTTTTATTATTCTTTTTTGTAAAGTATTACATAGGTAATGTAAAAGTAAGCCAAACGGTTTAAAACATAATTCCAGTTTACCACCCACAAATAACCACTGTTAATATTTTGATTTACGTTTTCCTAGCCTTTTTTCTAGGCATATATCATAATTATACATATAAAAAAGTAAATGCAACAGTGCTTTATAACATGCACTTTTCACTTAAAATGTTATAAATGCAGCCAAAATAATTCAAATTGTAAAGACTACAGTATTTCTTTTCTATGGATCATTTTTATTCTTTGTTAAACGAACCTCTAACCCAGGTTCTTGCTGTTTCTTGCCTATAATTTAAGAAAATTTCCTGTTTTCTTTGCAACCATAAATTAAAAGTGTAAATGCTGTATTTAAGATAATTGGATTTAATCCATTCTAAACAAACAAACAAAAGATTTTTAAGTTGTTATAAAATGGAATTTCATTTTCCTTATTAAGGTTTTAATAGAAAAGGATTGGGTCTCCTTTGGACATAAATTTTCAGAGAGGTGAGTCACAGTTATACATTTCTATATTTTGTAAAATTAGTAAAACTAGAGTGCCAAAATGTTTTTTGTTTTTTTTTAGGTTTTATTGGTTAATTGGGGGAGGGGAACAGTGTTGAGGAATTGGGGAGGGGGACCAGCCAAGTTGTTGTTCTCAGTCTTCGTTGTGGAGGGTGCCAGTCACCATTTGGCTGCCTGTCGGCAGCTTGTGGCCTCTAAGCTCAAGGTGCTGTTTTCAATTTTAGTTGCAGGTGGGCGTAGCCACCATCCAATGCAGGAGTCGAACCAGCAGCCTTGTTAGGAGCACACGCTCTATCCACTGAGCCATCCGGGCGGCAGCTCAGCTCAAGGTGTTGAGTTCAGTCTTAGTTGCTGGTGGGCATAGCCCACCATTGAATGGGCAATCTTGTTGTTACACCAGCTGAGCCATCCTGCCACCTGTTGGCAGCTCAGTGACAGCTCAGCTTGGGCACAGCATCACTGGCCCATGTGGGAATCGAACTGTCAGCTCTGTTGCTCAGAGCTCGCACTCTTAAGCCAACTCTTAACCAACTAAGCCACTTGGCCAGCCCATAGAGTGCCAAAATGTTTTTATTCTTCATGAACTCACATGTCCAATGGGAGGTGAGAGTGCAATATGGTTTTTTGTGTGAAGACTGATTTAGTTTTTTCTGTCATTTCTTTCAATCCTCATACCTTTGTCAATTTTTATGGCAATTTTTTACTTGTTTCTCTGGATTGTAGTAGCTAGAAAGTAATAGACCCTTTAAACCTGGTTGAAAAACACATAGGTATAAATTGTTTCTATAAAAACATCACAGTTTTTCTTATGCCGATGTAATCATGTTTTAGGATTTTTTTTTTTTTGATGTGTGTTTACATTTAACAATACCCAAACAATTGACTTATTTCAGAGACATTTTTAAAAGCTTGTGCTTTCTGGGGGGGGTTAGGTGTGGCCATTTGGATGGTGACCCAAAGGAAGTCTCACCGGTATTTACTCAGTTCTTGGAATGTGTGTGGCATTTGACTGAACAGTTTCCACAAGCCTTTGAATTCAACGAAGCGTTTCTTCTTCAGATCCATGAACATATTCATTCATGCCAATTTGGGAATTTCCTTGGAAATTGTCAGAAAGAAAGGGAAGAACTCAAGTAAGACGGTTTGATTAGATGGACTCTTTTTTTTTTCTGACTTAGCTGAGGTCTAACATAAATCATAGTTGAACTTAAAATATCTTGACAGTATGAATAGAACTGAATTTTATTGTAAAGATTTTATTGTCTATATTTCTAATGCCAAGTACCCTCTGAATATCCTTCACACCCTCAGATTAATAGTAAAAATACATTTTTAAAATTTGTTTTGAAGTATAGCATACATACAGAAAAGTACATATGTCGTAAGTGTGAAGCCCAATAAGTTTTAAACTCATCCACCTATGTAACCAGCACCCAGAATAAGAAACATTACCAACACCCTCGATACCCCCCTCATGCTCCTTTCCAGTCTGTACATATATTTAGAACACAGAAATATTTATTTCATTTCCTAGAAAGTATTGGTCACTACGTTTTAAAGTGTGATAAAATATTTAAAAACTATTGGGTAATTTAAGTTAGATGAGGCCTTATAGCCCATTTCACATTTCTAAACAGCTCTTTGGGGAGATAGATCTACCTGTGTTGGCTGCAGTGTGTCTGTCCCTGATCAGGTCTCACACCTGTTCTTCCCTCACCAGTCTTTGAGATTAGGGCTTCTGGCTAAATTTTGATACAAGGGGATCTGGGATAAGGCTATGAGAGGTCTTTATATACTTTTTACATTGGGCTTTTGAGTTTTGATTTCTTACAGTAATCAATAAAGAGGAATTGTAGATCTTTGAACCTCCAAGTGACATACTAGAGAGGCTAAATCCAGTAGTAGTTTGAAGACAGCCATCTGCTGTCACTCCCAACAGAGTTGAAGGCAGAACTGAGAGCACATGGAAAATTCTAAAGATGTGTACAGGGAGTAACAATTGAAATAGAGTATGACAGATGAACAAATCAAAGACCATTAAGACTTTAGCTTTGTGGTATAATATCTCATAGGTTTTCATAATTAGGAGTGGTGACTTTTGGAATACAGAGCTTTTTTAGGAAAAACTGTTCTCAGCGTCAAGCATCCTCATAAATAGGAAGACGGTAATAAGAACACATACTTCCTGGCGCTCTTTCTGTAAGAACATACTATTGGCCATCTTAAGGGTCATGAAAAAATGAGCCGGTTCTCCACCTTTTCCCCATATCCCTACCTATTTTATCTTCATTTGGTAAATATATTATCTAAAACCATTCTACCCTTTACCCACCTACTTCACCTACTTACTCTTAGATTTGTAGTATAATTGGCATTTTTTTACTCTTAAATAATGTCCTGATTTTTTCTGATTCCCTCTTTTGTACCCACTTATACTTCAATTTGACCCTGCCCTGTAATACATGCCATTACAGCCCAGGTGTGAGGCTAGGAGAATAAGGCCAAACAGAGATACATTAGGATCTTATTCTATATACGTTTAACCCTTGAACAATGTTGAGGTCAGGAGCACCAACCCTCCCCCCACACAGTTGAAAATCCATGTGTAATTTAAGTAGGCCCTCTGCATCTATGGATTCAGAAATACTGTTTTCAATAACACTTAAGTTGAATCTGCGGATGTGAAACCCAGGGATATTGAAGGGCCAACTGTATATTTGTTGAAAAAAATCTGTGTGTAAGGGGACCCGCACAGTTCAAACCCGTGTTGTTAAAGAGTCAGCTGTATATGTGTGGTGACCTGAAATAGGTGTAACAGAGTCCAAGATGATAAAATTGTGTGAGTTAAAAGGGGAATCTCTTTTAAAAAAGTATGTGGTTGTGAGAGGAAATGGTGTATTTGTGTTGTGTAAGAGAGACATGGTTTTATTACACGGTTATAAGTGAAAAAGGAGAATACAGAATTCAGAGACAAGGTGGTGTTAGACTGTGAATAGAAGGAAAAACTAAAACTTAAATCTGCTTGGGAAACAATTGCCTGATTTATACAACTGAGCATTGGCATCTGTGGGAAAGATCTTTATGTTTCTCTTATGATATAAGGTTAAAGGAGAAGACTTACTCCCTGTGGCCGTTTCTTCTGGATGACCAAAAAAAGTACTTAAATCCTCTCTACAAATCTCAGAAATTTGCAGTTTTGGAGCCAAATACAGCATCATTCAATTTTAAGTAAGTTGGCATCATTGAAGTATTTATATTCTATTTTTCTCAAACACAATCTATTTAAAAAAAATTTTCTTTTTATGGTCATAAAGGTTTTGGAGAAACATGTACCACCAGTTTGATCGAACATTGCATCCGAGGCAGTTGGTGTGTAATATAATTATGAATATGAATGAAGAAAATAAACAGTTAGAGAAAGATATTAAAGACTTGGAATCTGTAAGTATTCTCAAGTATCTAATGTAATATGTTTGGAATATTAAATTAGCTTGTTTCCTTGCTTGTGTTCTTAGTGTAAACTAGTATATATAGAAACTTGATAAGTACAATGGTTGCTTCAGTCAGATTTTCTTTACTTTGAATAGGTTAGTTTGAATCACTTTCCCTGGATTTTGAAATACCTGAAGTATATAGTAGAGATATAGAATGATAAATATCGGGGTATCTACCACCTGGCTTTGAGAGATTCCAACATTTATCATATTTGCTTTAGAGCTTTCATGTTCCTGTCCTAAGAAATGAAACACAGGTACATCTGAGAACCCCGTGTCCTCTGCATTCCTCCCCGACCTACCTTCACTGTGCTGAATTTGGGGTTAATCATTGCTGTGCATATTTGTATACTTCTGCTACATAGGTTTGTATCCACAACAATTTACAATATTGTTTTGTGGGATTTAAAATATTATTTTTATTATATATGGAAAAGATACTGAAGAAAATAGTTGTTGTATGAGGTATAAAGGGCAACATGCACCACAAAAGCCCATGCATTCACTCTGCTAAGAAACGGCATGTTTTAAACCTACATGCAGATTGTCATACTGTCATGCTTCATTTTCCTCAGCATTGTTTCAGAATTTGTTAATGTTGATACATGTAACTTTAATTCTTCTCTTTTGTTAGTAATGACTGTATAATATTCTCTTGTATGAGTATATCTCAATCAGTCCATTCAGCTACGGAACATGTACAGTGTAGTGTTTCCAGGTTTGGATTTCCATGGTAGCCAGTGAAGTTGAGTGACTTTTCATGTTTGTTGGCCACTTGGTTTTTCCTTTTCTGTGAATGACCTCTTCAAGCCTTTGCTCATTTTCTGTTGGCATATCTGCCTTTTTCTTATTGATATGTAAGAGTTCTTTATAAACCAGACACTGATTCTTTGTTAGTTATATATATCACAAATGGCTTTGTCCAGTCTAATCTCGTCCTTTCTTATTCATCTGCACTGGATTTTATTAATTTTTTGAGATTTTATTTTGTATCGTACCTAAAGAGGACATTTACAAAAGCATGTTTTCTTTTTTCATCTACATATATTGAACATGTACTATGTGCAATTAATAATGTTTTTCAAATTTCTATTTGTTCTAGAAAATTAAGCAGCACAAAAATGAGCAAATAGATGGAGTTCTCACCAAGGAATTGTTGCATACAGTTCATCCTGAGTCACCTGCCCTCAAAACCTCCCTGTGTTTTAAGGAGCAAACTCTGCTACCTGTGACTGATGCTCTTCGAACTATAGAGGGCAGCAACCTGGCAGATAATCGTTACAGCGACTACACCGAGGAGTTTTCCAAATCGGAGCCTGCTGTGGTCAGCTTGGAGTACGGCGTGGCAAGGATGACTTGTTAGACTCAGCGTATTTCCTGGACTGACCGTAGTACAAGAAGTGGATTATTGTGAGGATGGTCTGTGTGTGTGACCAAATGGAATAATGATCTTAGAGTGTAGCAGGGGGTTAATAGTTGAAGAAAGGATAAGTCAGTTCAATTGCATTTCTAGCAAGAAATATGACTTTCTCAGTTCTTTAAGAAACAAGTCATGTTGGCACGTTTACTCAAAACACAATTTGCATTGTATATTAATGAACTGACATTCTGTATGATTTATGTAGTAATTACAGCCAGACATGAAGAGCCTTACTTAAGCATAATTTAATTGCCAGAAAACAAAACTTGACAAGGCAGTCCCTTAATAATTGACATGGCATGTACTTTGGATTATGTAACCATATAACCGTGAATATTTACAGATTTTGCCTGTTAGTGATGTTTAATGTTGAAGTGCCATGAGAAGTATTTCTAAGAAAGCCTTAAAAATCTCAGTTTATTCTTTACTCTTGAGTTTTCTAGCCCAGAGCAAGATTGCTTTGGTTTTCTGTGTGTCGGCCTTGTTTTGATTTGTGGAGATTGCGGCCTCAGTGCTACAGGCGTGTGTGTGCGCGCAGTGCTCCTGTCTGAACGGGCAGGCGCACACTGTCAAGTTCATGCCTAGCTGGTCCCACTTCCATAGTCAGAATTAGTGAAACTGAAGTCTTTATTCCAGTTACAATTTGCTTAGTACTACATTTGATGATTTGCTATCTACAACTTAGGTTATTGATTTTTTGAATATGTATAAGCACATTTGACTGCCTCTTATGTGTGGATTACTGCATCCTGTCAATTCTTATTCAGTGGTTGGCTTTATTCCTTTGATAACTATATAAGCTGAAAAAGCTAAAGCTCTAAAACTTCTTAGAAACAATGAATTGTACCTATATTTTTAAACTGTTTAATCTCTTAACGAGTTACTACTCTTACTGTGAGACTATCTTACTTTCAGTTTACCCAAACATTCTTGGGTAAAAACAAAAGGGAAGTACAGATAGGTTAGATTTTCCTTGGTTTTATGAATCTTAAAGTAGTCATTTCTATGTGGAATATTATTTTCTGTTAATATAGAAGAAAAACAGGAAAATGAAGGATAGCCTAATACAAAGTTAATGTTTAACAAACATGACTTAATTGCTGGGGAGACTTTCATTTTGCCTTGTTATGTTAACTGTTTATTCTGTGTACTGGTACATATCTTTTAAGTTACAAAAAAAAAAATCACAATTGAGGGCCTGCTGGGCTGGGGCAACCACATTCTCACAGGGCCTGGATGTCTGAGGTCAGGACTGCCGAAGCCAGCTGGCTTCAAAACAAACGTTAAGTGCATGGGTGGCACGAGGTATAATTCAAGGGTACTGGGAAATCTGCGTAGGATCCCTCATGCTTCTCTTTATTACACATGTATTATTATTAGTTTTGAACATAAATATCTTTTTCAAGTGAAAGAAAGCTTTGTTGTATGAGAGCTTATCTAATCCTGTTTATTTTGCCATTGATTTTCTGTAATACATTATGTAATAAGAAAAATACACCTTTTTAAACAGTAACAGAAATGCACTGTATATAAAATATAATTTGTGATATTTGAGCACTGGGACAGGAAACTTAATCTTTGTGACCACAAAGGGAAAGCTTTTGTGCCTTGTTACGTGGTTCCAGTACTGATTGTGGTTTTAGAATCTTTAAAGAGACTTTAAAGTCTCATTAGAGACTTCTTATATTCAGCTCTTTAGTTTATTATCTTAATCTTCAACTTGAGGCACATATATGTGTTTATATGCTCGGCGCACATGGCCTGAGAAATCAGTTAACATCCTAAGTGACCTATAGGGAGTATGTTGGCAAAAAGCAAATTGTGTATATGTCTTATGAAATTGAATTTACATTCAGTGTGTTTGGGAATGTATAGCATGTAAATTATTTCGTATATTATTTAAAGGTAATTAAATGCTCATGTTTTACTTTGAATGTTTTTCTTTTGGAAAAAAAACAAATGGGATTAAGTTGTAGTTGGGTTTTTTTTGTTTGTTTGTTTTTTGCTCACCTAAATCAAATGGACCTGCACGTTCTACTAATCATAACAGTGTGAGGTTTGAGCAGTTCATTCTCCAAAAGATGGGTGTTGATAAATAATAACTTATCTACAAAAATAACTTCCAAACTACTTAAAATAGGTATAATGGGCTAAACGGTTTAGCAGATAGAGTTGATAAGGTCATTAAAATTTCCTTTTGTGCTCCTGTCACCTCCTGATGTTATTATAATCATTTTTATTTTATTGTGCCCTTCCCAACTTGTTGATGGAAGGCAGTGTCCAGTGAGTACGTAGTTTCAAGGTGAAAGTCTCTCCAAAGGCAGAGCTGGGTGTAAACATGATGAGGAAAGTAATTGGCAGAGAAGAGTATTCATTTTCTTTGGAGGGGTTTTGAACAGGTTAGGTAGGCTAGAAGTAGCTCAGGGAATCTTGACTAAAAAAAGATGAAGGGATGCCTCCCCACTAACCCCAATTCTCTTTATTTGCTGGGGTAGCAGGGCACGGAGTAGTATCTGGATAGTCTTTTTTAGAAAAAGACTATTTTAGGTCTTACAGAACCTATTTAGTGCAGTTTTAGGTTCATAGCAAAATTGAGAGGAAAACTCAGAGATTTCCCATATACCCGTTCTCACACATGCACAGCCTCCCCATTGTCAATACCCCCATCAGAGTGGGACATTTTTTACAGTTGATTAACCTACTCGTATGTTGACACATTGTAATCACCCAAAGACCATAGTTCACCTTAGGGCTTACTTTTGGTGTACTGTGGGTTTGCACAAATGTATAATGCTCTTTCATAGTACCATGCAGAGAATTTCCACTGCCCTAAACATCCTCTGTGCTCTGCCTATTCATCCCTCACCCTCCGGTACCCACTGATCTTTTCACTGTCTCCATAGTTTTACCTTCCCCAGAATGTCATGTAGGTGGAATAGAGTATGGAGCTGTTGCAGATTGTTTTCTTTCATTTAGTAACATGCGTTTAAGGTTCCTCCATGCGTTTTCATGGCTTGATAGCTCCTTTTTTTAATCACTGAATAATATTCCATTGTCTGGATGTACCACAGTTTATAGATCCATTTACCTACTATAGGGCATCTTGGTTATTTCCAAGTTGTGGCAATTAGGAATAAAGCTGCTGTACACATTCTTGGGCAGGTTTTTGTGAGGACAGAAGTGTTCAGCTCCTTCGGTAAATACCAAGGAGCATGACTGCTGGATTGTATGGTAAGAGTATGTTGAGTTTTGTACGAAACCTCCAAACGTCTCCCAAAGTGGCTGCACCATTTGCATTCCCACCAGCACTGAGTGAGGGTTCCCGCAGCTCCACGTCCTCACCAGTGTTTGTGGTGGTGTCACTGGGATTTTAGCAACTTTAATAGGTGTGTAACTAGCCTGGTCTTTTTTCACTTCGTTATTTCTAGAAGTTCTGCTTTAGAATACGACAGACTTGCAGCTGACATTCTAAGTTGGATGAAATGCCGACCATTTGCAAAACTATAGAGCAGTTGCAGACTTTTATCAGTGACAGTCATCCATTTTCTTTGGCCAAGTTTTAGCTATTTTGTTGGGTTTTCCAGGGAGTAGTTCAATTGGCATTAGCACATCTTGATTAAAATGTAGAAGGCCGGCTGAGTGGCTCAGTTGGTTAAGAGCTCACTCAAGAGTTTGAGCTCTGAGCATCTAGCGGTTTGATTGCCGGCCCGAGCTGAGCAGCTGCTGAGCTGCCAACAGGTGGCAGGATGGCTCAGCTCAAAAAAAAAGAAAACGTAGAACCGTTTTTTTAAAATACGTAACTAAGCTTTAGGAACCCATACCTAGAAAAAGACAGCCTGTAATCAAGAATGATTATCTCAAAAAAATATATATGCTATTGTACTTGCCATCTTGTAAGGAAATAAACACCAATTTCTGCCATTTGTATAAACAGTGCTACTCTAGTTATTTCTAGGCAAGTAAGGTATCTGTTTGCATGGCAACTTTTATAAAATAGTGGAATGTACAACAAAGCAACTTTCAGAAACTTCTCAGTAGTACACTTAAACCCCTAGTCTTTGAGTTTCTGGTTGAGGAAGTATGGGTTGGGACTTGAGTTAAAAGTATTTGCATAGCAAAAAACATGTGCATTTAACAATATTTTTGGAGATTCGGATGCAAAATGGTAGGGGAATCACACTCAGAAACTCTGCCCTAAACCACCTACCCTCATCGGGAAGCATCTCTTGTTCTTAAACGAAATAGAATTACTCTGGGACGAAGGGCAATAGATTGGGGAGCATCATACTTCTGAAACATTGCTGTACGAGTGGGTATGAGAAATAGACCTTTGTTCTAAGCCACTGGGAGTTCGGGCTGTTTGTTACTGCAGCATAAGCTGGTCTAGCCTGAATGATGAAACCATTAGCACACCTGAGACATTAGTAATGCTTTGATTTCATCAAAGTTCCATCCCTCATTGTGCCAAACAGCCTTTTACCTGTTCATTTTGCATTCATATCCAGTTCAGATTCACGCATTGCATTTGGTCATAGCTCTTAGTCCCTGCACGTTGAATAGCCCCTTCACCTTTCACCCTTTGCATTGACTTTGAACCAGACCAGCTGTAGAGCGTCATCCTACATCTGATTGTTTTCTCTGCAGTTTAACTTGTTCCTCTCTCTGCTGTCAAATAGCCACTAGATGGGATTCAGTTGAAGCCGTTTAGGAAAGATGCTATGAACTTCATATTGAGTTACTCAGGAGGGTACACTGTCAGGCTGTCCACTGTTCCGTTGCTAAATTTGACCACTTGGTTGAACTCTCTAATTAAATGTACATTTGCACTTAGCAAATGCTTTGCAGGGCGACATTTTGGCAACAAAATGAATATCCCATTCCCTAACAACCTATCCATGGATCATGTTTTCCTGAATCAGTTATTTCATTGGATGTTCCAAAATGGTGATTTTCTAATTTTCTCTCTTTTTACATTTATTTGCTGGGATTCTTTATAAGTGGTGCTTTTCCTCATCAGCTGGGAAAATTCTTATGAAAAAAGGCATGGTAAATGCTTAATTCTTCCCCTTTAATCACTAATTTTCAGAGTAAGGATTTGTAAAATAGTCACCTTCCTCCTGTAAGAGTGTGGATTTTTATAATCAATTACAATAAATGCTCTTTTTACTTAAGCTGTTCTAAATCTAGCCCCAAAAGCTTTATGTTCCTTCCATTTCCTTTTGACATATACCTATCAGTTTTGAGTACGTTTTTGGTTTCTGACACAAATAGATGTCATAGGCTCATCTTGTACTTTTGGTACCCCAGTTTTGGAATTAGCCATTTCTCCAAGGAAGCTTTGTTTCTGTTAGTGAGGAATAATATTTAGAAACCAAACTTTGGGGCGTTAGATGTGTGCATTACTACTGGAGTGTCATTGCTTTTAGGCCCTTTCAATGGACAGAATTAGAAAAAATGTTTTTAAAAATCATGAGTTTAAACTATTTCAAATTATTACCACAGTGTTTTCTTCTTCAATGTGTATCTCCCCTGTTTAACTGACAACCCTGGTTTCAAATAGCATTGAATATATCGACATTATTTGCTTTATTGTACAATATACATTATACAGTATATTATACAATATATTATACAATATACAGTAAAAATTAAGAATTCTTTGTGGTTATCTTTATTCATATATATATATATACACACACATATATATATATGTGTGTGTATATATGCTACGAAGGATGTACAAGGTACTGTATTCAAAAGTCACTGGAAATTTTTTTTTGTTTACAATACTGATTTTATATGCAAATGAGATATTTTGTTTTCAGTTTCAGGACTCGCTTATTTTTTTTTTTAGTGGATTTTTTTACTAATTACTGAAAAAAACTATGAAAAAGTATGAAAAACTATAAAAAAACTATGAAAAAGTATGATTTTTTGAAATTCAATATTATTTTATATTAGTTTCAGGTGTACAGCATAGTGGTTAGACATTTATATAATTTAGGAAGTGATCCCTCTGACTAGCACCCACCTGGCACTATACATAGTTATTACCATATTATTGATTATATTCCCTATACTTTACATTCCCATGACTATTTTGTAACTACCAATTTGTATTTCTTAATCCCTTCACCTTTTTCACCCTGCCCCCCGACCCCCCTCCCCGCTATCACCCCAATAGATCTAGTAACCACCTAACACCATATATAGTTATTACAATATTATTTACTATATTCCTTATGCTACACCCTACATCCCCATGACTACTGCTTTGTACTTCTTAATTCCTTCCCTCCTTTTCATGCATACCTCCTAACCCCACTCCCATCTGGCAACCATCAAAACATTCTCTGTATCTATGAGTTTGTTTCTGTTTTGTTTATTTTGTTGTTTAGATTTCACTTATAAGTGAAATCATGTGACATTGTCTTTCACTGTCTGACTTACTACACTCAGCACAATACCCTCTAGGTCCATCCATGTTGTTGCAGATGGCAAGATTTCATTCTTTTTTATTTTATGGCTGAGTAATATTCCATTGTATATATGTACCACCTCTTCTTTTTTTTTTTTTAAAAGATTTTTTTGGGGGGATTTGGGAAGGGGAACAGCCAAGTTGTTGTCCTTCATTCTTAGTTGTGGAGGGCGCAGCTAGCTCAGCTCCAAGTGCAGTCGCCATCCAGCTGTCCGTTGGCAGCTGGTGGCCACTCAGCTCAAGGTGCCATGTTCAATCTTAGTTGTGGGTGTGTGTAGCCCACCATCCCATGCAGGAGTCAAAGCCGAGAGTCTTGTTGTTAGGAGCACATGCTCTCACCAGCTGAGCCATTCTGCCACCTGTTGGCAGCTCACTGGCAGCTCAGCTAGGGCACAGCTTCCTGGCCCATGTGGGAATCCAGCCGGCACTCTTAGCCAACTGAGCCATTCAGCCGGTCCCCGCCTCTTCTTTATCCGTTCATTCATTCAAGG